ACGTTATAGGAACAAAAGTTCGTTTTTCTAAACTTCCTCCGCTTTGAACAGTAACTATTTTACTTGAAGTATGGTATGTTTCTTTGCCTACTGCTGTTAGCTGAATGACATGAAGAGTCTTGGCTGGGATTTAACAGTGACATTTTTCTTTATAAGATTTTCTTAGCTTAATGCAATTAAAGTTTGTGTTTTTCTAAATGGGGTCATTTATGATTTTATACTAAGTACAAATAGAATGTCACATGCTAATTGAAAGTTATAAGGTTATTTTTAAATAGGGTTGGGTTTCTAGGACCAGAAAAGAATTTAGAATTATTAATAATGGTAGTAAATTAATTTGCTCTGAATAAAATACAAATATCCTTTCTGAACATGGGAACAATATGAATTGACTTTTTCTAGTACGATGTATTTTTGTACTAATACTGAAATATTTTTCAGAGATTGGCAATATAAATAGATGAATTGAGATATTAGTATCCTAACTTTATAAGTACGTCATTATTAGAAATTCGGGTGGATTTGTGCTTACAAATTTCAAAAGGAATTGAAACCAGCAAACTACAATATATGATTGTGTATTTCTTCATGAAGAGGTCTACTCCAGTGTGCAAATATATATTTGTTTGTAATTTTAAAATAAAATAAAATAGCTGTATTAAAAAGAAGTTAGATTTTTATGTCTTATTTACGCATTTCTTTGCTTGGCAGCCAATTATAGATCTGATTCTTGAGTTTCCTAAGACTACAGGTAGTCCTCGATTTACAATTGATCCTAAAATTTCTGTTGCTAAACAAAACAGCTGTTAGTGAGTTTTACGACCTTTCTTGCCACAGCTGTTAAGTGAATCACTGAAGTAATGAAATAAGTAACACGGTTCATAAGTGAATCTGGCTTCCCCATTGACTTTGCTTGTCAGAAGGTCGCAAAAAGTGATCACATGACCCTGGGACACTGCAACCATCATACATACCTTCCAATTCCCTAGCACTCGAAATTTGATCATATGACCCTGAGGATGTTGCAACGGTCGTGTGAAAAACAGTCATGTCACTTTTTCAGTGCTGTTGTAACTTTGACTGGTCACTAAACAAATGGTTTAAAGTCGAGGATTACCTGTAGTCAATATCAAGTTCCTTCCCAGAATGAAAGAAATCACGTTGCATCTTAACAAGGCAGGGCAACTTCAAAATTCTTAAAATATGCTGATTTCACTTGAAAAAGCTCCAAAATTTTCCTGAAGAAAACCTCTGTGTTTAAGGGGATGAAAATTTAGTTGATGAACTTTTAACTGGTTGAAGCTGACTTTTATTGAGAAGAGTACTGTGTTTTGAATGAGAATTAATTTAGAAATTAGAGAAATTTTCATAAACCATTATAGAAATGCTCCATAGGCATTGCACTTGTGCTGCACGTCTGGAAGTTAACAATTTAATACCGCTTAGATTTATATACCACTTCACAGTGCTTTTTCACCCTCTCTAAGAGATTTACAGAGTCAGCATATTGCCCCCAACAATCTGGATCCTCATTTTAATGACCTCAAAGAATGGAAGGCTGAGTCTACCTTGAGCTGGTGAGACTCGAACTGCCGAAATGCTGGCAGCTAGCAGTCAGCAGAAGTAGCCTGTGCCATCACGGCTCATTAATGATGCCTATATAGAAATTTACCACTAGAGTTGCTGCTGCTACTAGTACCATTACTGGTAGTAGTAAATTTAAATAGAAGCTCTTATATACTGTGAAGACCTAGCTCCCTGGTTTGATGGGAATGATGAAAAAGAGAAAAAGTGGAGGACTTATAGCAAGATAGAAGGGCCCAGTTATAGTGGTACTGGGTGCACTGTTAGAAGACCTAGAGGACAAGGTTTGGAGCAGATCATCTTTTGTTGACTTCCCTCAACCTGACAACCTTTAGACATATTAAAACCTCAGTTTTTGTATCCCATAGCAAGCATTGTCTGTAGCAGTTATTTTGGGACTAGAAATTTATAGACTTTGGTGTAAATTGAAATTGGGTTGGATATACTTAAAGAATCCTTGAGCAATTGTTTCCAAGACTGTAGGCAAGGCAGAACATATATCTAGGTAGTCCTTGACCTACAACCATAATTGGGACCAGGATTTCTCTTGTTAAACAAGGCAGTTTAGTGATTCATGCCTGTTATTGAAATCTTTTTTTTTCTTTTTTCTTTTTTTGCTGTTGTTAAATCACTCATTGCTATTTTTAAGTGAACCCCGCTATTATTAAGCAAATCTGTCTTCGTCCATTTACTTCTTCCATATGAGCCGCATGGCGCAGTGGTTAGAATGCAGTACTACAGGCTACTTCGGCTGACTGCCAGCTGCCTGCAATTTGGCAGATCGAATCTCACCAGGTTCAAGGTTGACTCAACCTTCCATCCTTCCGAGGTGGGTAAAATGAGGACCCAAATTGTTGGGGGCAATAGGCTGACTCTGTAAACCATTTAGAGAGGGCTGCAAAAGCACTGTGAAGCAGTATATAAGTCTAGGTGCTATTGCTATTTGGTTTATTGGAAGCTGGCTGAGAAGATTGCAAATGACGATTACATAATCTGGGAATGCTGCAACTATCATAAACATATGCCAGTTGCCAGGTGTCTGAATTTTGATCCCATGATGTTGGGGATGCTGTGACGGTCATAAGTATGAGGACTGGTTGAAAGTCACTTTTTTCTGTGCCATTGTAGCTTTGAAAGATTGTGAAGTCAAGGACTACCTGTATTGGGCAAAAGAGCTGGGTTCACATAATTCACTAACTATGCTAACATAGAATTAAACAGCCAGTGGTTCCATGCACGTGAGGAGCCCAGTCTGTGGCTTAGAGTATCAGAATGTCGCATTAAGCTGTAACATGGTTTATGTGTTAGCTCACATTTTATACTATTAAGGTTTGTTAACTCAAACAGAGATGTTAGCGTGTTGTGTGAAACACCCCTTCAACCAGTGGTGGGTTGCAACCAGGTTCAGACCAGTTCGCAAGAATTGGTAGTAAAACCAGCAGGAGGCTCTGCCCACTGACATTTATTTTATTTTATTTTATTTTATTGCAATTTATATGCCGCCCTTCTCCCGAAGGACTCAGGGCGGCTTACAAGATAAAAATTCAACAATATGAATTAAATATAAATTAAAATCCAATTAAAATTAATTAAAATTATCATGAAAGTTGATCTGCGCATACGCAGAAGAGCGTGCAGAAGAACACGTGAAGATGTGTGCATGCGCAGAAGAGCATGTGCGCGGGCACGATGTGAACCAGTAGTAAAGGTAAGTAGAGCCCACCCCTGCCTTCAACTGTACGGAACACACATGAGGCAAGTAGTGGCCTATAATGATGATGTCAGCCTTAATTTTAAGATACAGTAGTGCATGGTAAGAGGCACAGCCATGTTTTGAAGACAGTAAGTCATTGTGAGAACATGGAGGCTCTGATAACAGCCAGCATCCTCTCATCAAGAGATTGCAATATTTCCCCAACAGTAGAGAATAAGGCAAACAAATTGACCCAGTAGTTTTTCTGCAATGTCATCTTAAAACAAGTAATCATACTGCTAAAGAAAAATGTCATTGTTTGCTAGTATGACTGGAACGAAAGCTGAATAGTTATTTGGCCTGAAGCAAATAATCAATCTGACTTTGATAACCCATCACTTTAAAAGGGCCTTTTATGTTTGTGAAAAAAAGTGTGACGTCAAAGCTGTGGAAAAAAAAAATAGCACCAAAATTTCCAAGCTAAATTTACGTTACTTCACAAACACATCTGCACACAAATACAAAAAGGTTCCCTGTGCAAACCGATTTTTTATTTTACTTGCATAACAAATTAGTTTATGGTTATTAGAAGCCTGAGATGTAATGTCCAAGTTATTGTGCCATATTTGAAGAACTTGTTTATGCTTCGTCCATCGTTGTGCCTTTGAACTGGTAGAACAGAAAATAAAATGAAAATTGTCCAACTAGTTGCTAGACATTCCTAGGACTATATAAATGCCATGCTGGAAATGCTTGAGTATAATCATTATCAGGTGAGTTTTTCTTTCTTTCTTTCTTTCTTTCTTTCTTTCTTTCTTTCTTTCTTTCTTTCTTTTTCCTGCCCTCTCTCTCTTCGTTCGTTCATTCCTTTCTTTTTTTCCCCGTGTGCTTCAACCATTTTCCCACTTACAGATACATAAATCTATTTATTTCAGCGGGACTAAAGGTATATGCATTTTCGCAAACCTATGGTACAGTGGAATTTAGAGAAGATTACAAGGGATATTTTCTTAATAAATATAATAAATGTATTTGTAGTATGAATATTTGTAGAGAAATGGAAAACAGTTTTTAATATAGCATCATGTTTTTTTCATAGACTAGTTGAATGCCACAAAAGCAATTGAGTCCAATAAAATCTATTTCAAAGTGATGAAAAACATAAAGTAAATACTTAAGCATTGTATCTACAACGGTATACATTTTCAGGGTTTTGAAAGTGTGTTTTCTTTTTTTGTAACAGTAGCAAAGACATTTAAAAAGACTTCTGAATATCATTCTCTATTTTTATTTATTTATTCACATTTCTTATAGCTGTTCAAGTCCAGTGGGCTCCAACAGTTTTAAAATGCATCAATTATTTGCATGCATTTTATGAAGTGTATGTGTATCAACAGATTTTATTGAGAAAATGTATATTTTATACCTTTCTGATTATTACCTTATTATTTAAGTTTTATAAATTACTGATATTTAAGTATTGATCTGCAGGTTCTGTCTGTTATATAATAATGTATAATAATTCCTGTCTTTTAAACAATGCATTTACATTAATATACAAGTTTTCCTTCTACACGTAGCTTTGTTTTCATGTGGGGAAAAAAAAATCAGTGTTAAATAACTGATGGGTAAATCTTTATGGATATTATGGACACAATATTCAGAGTAATTCTGATTCTCAAACATTGATGAGAAGCTGCATCTTTTCCTTCTGTGTCCACAGGTGCAGACTCACCTGGAAAACCCCACCAAGTACCACATCCAGCAAGCTCAACGGCAACAAGTCAAACAATACCTCTCAACTACGTTAGCAAATAAGCACAACAATCAGGCGTTAAGCTTACCTTGCCCAAATCAGCCCGTTGACCACGTTATGCCACCAGGCACTGGAAGCAGTGCACCCAACAGCCCTATGGCCATGCTTACATTGAACTCCAACTGTGAAAAAGAGGTAAGAGCAAATCCTGTCTTTGGCCTTTGATGCTTTAAAAAGCTATGTTTCTCGTGCGCTCTCTTTTTCTTCAGATTGTGAAAATACTTGATTGGTCTCACAGTCCTCTATATATAGTTGGGAATAGATCTTTGGGCTGCTCATCCAACTTCCCTAAAAACAGCAACAGCAGCTATAAATATTAATATGTCTAAATGAAAAGCATGAACTATTTCATAAGAGCAACTATAGGAATTATCTCCCTATTTGAAATATAGATACTCCTTGTTTTTATCTTGTTCCAATATTTCTTAATTGGAACAAGATAAAAACATGGATAGCAGAAATAACAGATTATGAAATTGAATTAGAACCCGAAATTTTTTTATTAGGTATGATTAAAAAGAATATTAGGAATGACATAAAATATTTAATACTTCACAATAACGGCGGCTAGACTAGCAATAGCACAACTTTGGAAAACAAATAGATTGCCAACTGATCAGGAGCTAATACAAAAGATATACACATGCGCAGAAATGGATAAATTAACCTTAGAGTTACAGGATAAGGAGGACTCAAAATATTTTATAATATGGAATAGATGGTACCAGTGGATAAATCAGAGGAGGCCAAACTGGTTGAGATGAAATTTAGAGGAAATTAACATAAGTAAAAAAATGCACTGTTGGATAGATAGAAAATGAAATATGTCACTGTAGGTTTGTATATATGTAAATATAATAATAGAAATTAGTTAGTAGTTGAAGTCGTTTATCGTATATGTATATGTAAATTTGTTTCTTGATTAAGTTAACTTTTAACTTAATCAAGCTTTTGTATGTTTTAAATGTTTTTTTTAAGAATGAATAAAGTTTTGCTTTTTAAAATTTAAAAAAAAAATGAAATATAGATACTCCTATATTGAGCTTATACACATGCAAACCAAGCATTATACTATTGGCTATTTTGCAGGTTCCCACATAAATCTTTTCATGGATTTTAGCTTTTCAGAACTCTTGCACACTGACTTGATCTTAGTTGAATTTTTCATAGCTAATTGACCACAACCAATTAACTGTTAAGCAAATTTTCTCTCCATCCTTGTGACCCATACACTTCGGGATTTCTGAAAATTCCTATTTAACTGCATACAGAGACCCACGGGTGAATCCAATCTGCATCTTTTTCCACATAATTTCAATATTTATGCATTTGTCAAATTTAGATACTACCCAGTGACTCTAGGCAGTGTATAGTTAAAAAATATAAAAGCCTAAAAAACATATAAAAATGCAATGCATCTATAAAAAGAGCCAATAAAACCATGAATAAAATAAGTTAAAAGATGGGGGCAAGTTTGTTAAGGCACCAGCCATCACCAGGGTTGCATGCTGTTCATGCAAACTTTCAGGACCAAGCTTCAAACCCCTCATTCAAAGGCCAGGAGAGTGAAGATCTGCCTGACCTCTGGAGGGAGGATATTCCAGAGGGTCCATAAAATTCATTCCCTACCTGTCCAGGTGAGTGAATTGATTTGATAGGGATAAGATGGTTCATTAAGTAGTCTGGCCCAATACCATGAAGGACATTAAAGGTAATAACAACCTCTTGAATTAGATCCAGAAACAAACCAGCATCCAGCTTAGCTCTGGCAACAAAGATGTTGCATGCATCATTCTTGGGGAGCCCAAAATTGGTCACATGACCACATTCTGCACTAGCAGAAGCTTCCGAATATTTTTCAAGGGTAGCCCCATGTACAGCACATTGCATTAGTCCATTCAAGATATGACCAGGGCATGAATGACCAAGAGAAGGATCTCCAGATCCAGGAAAGGGTGTAATTGGCACACAACAAAAAGGTAGGCAACTTAGAGAATGCAGTTGGATACACAAGCTGCTTGAAAAATAGAAAACATGAAATTGATAATGCATGATTGCAATTTTTATTAATAAGACACAATGAAAGTATTTTACATCAACAGGGTATTTGCCGGTGGCAAAAGAGGAAAAAAAATCAAATCCATAAGGGAAATGAGCAAAATAACTGATTTTAAAGTTTCTTTTGGTGTAAACATTTGAGCACTGCATTTAGTAATTCTGTGCAATCTCATTAGTCCATCTCAATAAATGTATTGCACAATGAGAAGGCATACAAAAAAAAAAAAATCTTATTGATGCCCCTCCGAACATTAATGAAAGCTTCCCTTTGAATAAGGCCTTTTAGTAGGTATGGATGCAAAATATATAGACTTACCACTATTGTTACTTTCAATCCAAATCAATTCACTGCTGGATGAAAGCCTCTTCACTGAAGGTTATAAACCATAACCTGGTCCAGTAAGGGTTGGTGGGTAAATGTTTTTTTTTTTTTTTAACCTTAGTTTGTGCTAAGGAGAATGGCTGGCCCAATGTCATTGAACCACTTTTGGCTTAAAAGGTGCACTAGAATTTTTGTCTCACTGGTTCTAGTCCAGCACCTTAGCCACCCCACCAGATTGATATTCATTTTGTCTGTCTGTCTGTCTGTCTGTCTGTCTGTCTGTCTGTCTGTCTGTCTCTCTCTCTCTCTCTCTCTCTCTCTCTCTCTCTCTCTCTCTCTCTCTCTGTCACACACCCACACACGCATGCACACACTCATTTCTTTTTGGTTTTAAAACTATTATATTTGAAAAAAGTATAGAATACAAAAAAAACAAAGAAAAGGAATTAAAAAGAGGAAATGAGATAACACACACACACACAAACAAAATAGGGAATGCAAGGAACAACAAAAAGAAAAAAGCTATAAAAATGGAACTTTTGAATATTGATACAGATAAAATCATAAATCAATGACCCTTTGAACTAGAATATACCATATCAAACAATAGTTCTATCATAATAAACTTATCTAAGCATCAAATCCTAAAATTAAAATATCATATATTTTTTTCAGTTTCAATAAAAAAAATTGGCTTCCAAGTAGAAATGAAGCTAGATAAGGTCTTTTCTTTAATCGAAGCAGTCAGTTTCACCATTTCTGCCAACTCCATTAACTTCAGCTTCCATTCTGGATATATGTGTGTCCTTCCATCTCTGCATGTATAGAAGTCTTGGGGCTATTGTTAGATACAGTATAAAGCAAAATTCCAGTAGCTATTTTATTTCTTAATTTAGCTGTAAAATGTATTGCAAAAGAGAGTTCCCCAACCTTTTCAGCTTTGCAGACAGACCGGGGGAGGGGGTGCGTTTGTGTGAGCAGCGGATGCATGCGCTCACCACTTTTGCAAGTGGAGTGTATGCGCACATACACTCGCCTGCTGCTCGCACAAGTGCGGATGCATGTGGGCTTCCTCGTCAGTTCCGTGGGCTGGTTCTGAAAGGCTCAAGGCTGGTAGTCGGCCATGACCAGGGGGTTGGGGACCTCTGTTTTAAAATTGTAATCAATGAATATTTCAGTAAACAATAAAGGAACAAACTCAGACAAATTTCCTGTCATGAAAGCCATTTAGCACAGGTAAGCAAACTTTTGGAGCTTGGGCAACATTGATACTTTTTAGTGAATTTTGTGCATTCAACAAAATAGCTGTCTTTGCCAGTCAAAGAACATCCATTTATGAGTAGTCAAACTAACCCCAGAATGTTCTTCACTATCACAGTTGATCTACCTCCATCACAAGAACACTTGAACAACCATTTGTGTGAGGAGAACTGAAGCACCAGTGCACGTTACAAATAATAATAATAAAAACAAACAAACAAACAACCTATTAGCTTCAGGAAAAACTGTGCCATAGGAACAAATAAACATGATGTGAATTTTGAATTATGAATGTGCATAATTCTCCACTACAGGATGTGTCCTTGATTGCTACTATAGTTGGATTTAATAGGGATTAAACCATGAATGGACAACAGGTCTGTTGGGGTATGGAACTCCATACTAGTGAAAATTATTGAGGAACAAGTTGTGAGGACCACCTGGTTTCACGGAATAGTAAATAATCTTCCAGAATCATCTGGTTGACCACCGTGGGACCAAAAAGGCTAGTTTGCATGGATCTTTCTAGGATTTTTTTACATTAATTTGTTTGTAGAATCAAAGTGTTTTTTTAATTGTACCTTTTGAGTACAGCAAGTACTGCCATAAATGCTGTTTATTTCATCGAACCACTACAGTATTTGCATCTCCTTAATTTTCATTATTAAAATCTGATGTATTTATTCTATTGTGACAGGATTAACTTTCTGTTCCAAAGATCTATTGCTTATTTAAATATTAGTTAAATGATATTTAATTTATCCTGGTGTTGCACTCTATCCCATTCTGATCTTTTTGTTCTTACATTTGTTCTCTTTTTTTTTTCATGGTTGCAGGGCTTTTATAAATTTGAAGAACAAAACAACAGAGCCGAAAATGAATGCCAGTCTCTGAATACTCATTCTCGAGTGTCATGCATGCAGGTATGTATGCTTTGCATATCGTCTGATAGAATCTTTATGTGATTGTTAAGATCTCCAAGCCTATTTCAGATTTATTGATTTCAGGTTAGAATGGAATGGAATGGAATGGAATGGAATGGAATGGAATGGAATGGAATGGAATGGAATGGAATGGAGAATAGAGTAGAGTAGAGTAGAGTAGAATAGAATAGAATAGAATAGAATAGAATAGAATAGAATAGAATAGAATTCTTTATTGGCCAAGTGTGATTGGACACACAAGGAATTTGTCTTTAGTGTATATGCTCTTAGTGTACATAAGGAGAATAAAATACATTCATCAAGAATAAAAAGATGCAACACTTAGTGATAGTCAAGGTTATTAATAAGCTATCAAATCGTACTAGGAAACAAATAAAAACAATATAAATTGAAAGATACAAGAAACATGGTTATAGTAATAAGTAGGAAGAGAAGAATCATTCATTCATTCATTCCATTCCATTCCATTCCATTCACTGGGCTACCTAAAATGCAGTTAGAAAGCAATTGAATAATTACACATTTAGAAATAGCATGTGTCCTACAGATATGTTCCTGGTCAAAATGGCAGCCAGGCATTTCATATGGCGTACTTGCTTATGCTTTTATCCAGTTAACAAATATTGGGCATGAAACAGTGAGAAAACTCAGAACAGTTAGAAATTACAAACAGTGGTAGAATTTTGACTGTGGCTTGAATTTTGTAGTCTTTCACTAGGATGTAAATCCCAGCAACTCAGTGGTCTTTGATCTGATCGGATTACTTATTCATGGAGATCTGTTCTATTTATTAAATGCATTTGTGTTCTGTCAATAAAACACGCAAATGCATTTTTAAATAGCCAAAAATAATTTGTTTTATAGGAATCCCAGATTATTCAAATCCCTGAACAAAATCTTCAGACTACTTCATAAGAAAATAAGAGTTTCTGTCCATACTACAATCCAGCTGTTATAATTTGCAGTTTAAGGAATATTGGGATTGATATTTCTGGGAAGAGTATAGAGAAAACTTATTAAATATTAAAAAATGTCCTCTGAGAAAATATACATGTAGTTATTTAAGAAGTTTTTGTATAACAAATGCGTATAATCATGTATTATTTGTACTAATTCCTTGTTTATCAGCTTTCCAAATATGAACAATTGTCAGCACCAGGGATAAGAAATATCTATATACCTTTCAAGATGTCTTACTGTAGTGCATTACTTTTGAGGATTTCATCTCTTGGTTCTAGGTTCCAACTAGATTCATATTACTTCTTTTAAATTAATTTTGTTTCCTTATTTCTGTGTGGCTGATTTGAGTATGTGTAACTAGTTAACCCAGGCATAATATAGCAGATACCTTTTTGAAGCTGAAGCTGATTTTGCAACTATTCTTTTCTCACTGATCTCCCCTTAAGATAATATGATGCACAACAAGTCTATAGCGAGTCTTAACGTTTACAGTAGGACTCACATAATCCTGCAATAGGAAATAGCATTATTATTATTATTATTATTATTATTATTATTATTATTATTATTGTTGTTGTTGTTGTTGTTGTTGTTTTGTTTTGTTTTGTTTTGTTGTTGTTGTTGTTATATTTCTTTATTTCTTTATTTATTGAATTTATATAGATTCAAAAGATAAGATTATAAAGATTATATAGCTTAAAAAGATAAGAAGATATTTTCAAGATTAAAAAATTGGGGGTGATCAAAGAAGATTTAGAGGTTCAGTGCCCCGGCTCCTAAATAAATAAATTGGGATATTTTTATTTATGGAATTTATACAACTTTCCAACTCAAATACAGGAGTCTAGATAGCTAACAATATTTTAAAAACAGAATAGAAACAATATAACAGCATTACAAATAATATGATTAAGAGCTGGGAATTGGTAGAAGAATACTTCATGTCGGTAGTCCAAAACTGACAATTACAATGGAGCCCCAAATTTCCGTTGCTAATCAAGACAGTTCTTAAGTGAGTTTTGCCCCATTTTATGAAATCTCCTGTCACGGTTGTTAAATGACTCATTGCAGGTGTTAAATTAGTAACACAGTCGTTAAAGGAAAATTTGGCTTCCCATTAACTTTGCTTGTTAGACGGTAGCAAAAGGTAATCACATGACCCTGGGACACTGCAACTGTCATAAATGCATGCAGTTGCCAAGGGTCTGAAGTTTGATCACATGATTATGGGGATGCTGCAAAGGTTATGAGTGTGAAAAATGGTCATAGTCGGTTTTTTCACATCCATTGTAATTGAATAGTCACTAAATGAAAGGTTGTAAATCGAGGATTACCTGTATATCCAGGAGGTCTTTCCTTTCTAAGTGTTTGATGCGTATGAACATTTTTTTGTCCTAATTCAGATTTCTGATACTCCTTATCTTTTGTTACAGATGGATGATGTAATTGATGACATTATCAGTTTGGAATCAAGTTATAATGAAGAAATCTTTGGTTTGATGGATCCTGCTCTACAAATTGCAAATACGGTATTTGGTTTTGTGTTGTGTCTTTTAGTTCTCACTCTTAGTTCCTTTTTTTTTCATTAAAACATGTTTATTTATTCTTTTATCACCAAAGATAAAATGTAAAACAAAGAAAAGAAAGAAGAAAAACCGATTAACACTAACAACAACAAAAATCTATGTGTACAACCCCCCCCATAATAAATACATTGAATATTAAACATAAGAAAAAATCCACCCCAGCTGAATACCGAAAGGTACATCAAAAATCTAATATATTCCCCTCCTCTTACATAATGGGTCTATAATAGTTATAAATTTTTCCATCTATTTTTAGCAAAAATTCTATATTATATGAACAACCATCCCTCATGTGGAAATCTATTTATCTAATAATCAAATCGACCCAACATCTGTTTTTTCATACACATATATATATGTGTATATATAAGTATATATATACAGAGCATACACATACATGCACATATTTGTGTGTGTGTGTGTGTTTGTGTGTATGTTAAAACTAATCCTCAAATCCCTCTGTCAACCATCTGTCACATAGGAAATCCACAAATGGATTTCAGTCTCTTACAAACTTATCTAATCCATTTTCTCTAATCAAAGCAGTTAATTTTGCTATCTCTGCTAATTCAGTCAGTTCTAAAATCCATTCTTCGCCAGCGGCATCCCCTTTTCCTTCCAATCCTTAACATAATCAATCGTCACAGCAGTCACCATGTAAACATACCAAACCTTTTTCCCCAGTTGATTTATTCGTAATACCTAGAAGAAAAGATCCAGGTTTCATTAATGTTTGTATTTTAAGTATTTTCTGTATTGTTAATATTATATTTATTCAATATGATTTAGCATACTAACAAGTCGATCATATATTTTAGAATGTACCTGGATTTTGGTTGCATTTCCAACACTTGTTCGAAATTCCTCTATACATTTTCGCCAGTCTATCTGAAGTCAAATACCAACAGTACATCATCTTAAATGTTTTCCTCCAGACTGTAGTTCAAAATGAATTTTTAACCATTGGTCCATACATTCTCCTATTGGTCTAGCACCATATCGTAACCATTTTTTCCCCACCCATTTTACCATACAATTTTTAACAAGTTCATCTTTCAGATTCATCTTAAGTAACATTTTATAAACTTTGGCAATCAGTTGGTCATCTCCACAAGATAAAATCATATCCTGTTCAGATTTAACTCCTGCAAATACCAAATTTTTTTTTATCAAGTTTAAATTTTTAAAATTCTATAATAATTAAACCAATCACAAACAAATCCTTCACTTCACTATTCATTAATTGCTCTCTTGTTTTTATCTGAAATCCCTCTTGCTCAAATATCAGTAGATCTCAATATGCCATCCATTTAGAATCCAATAGCATCGCTTTTCTGTGTAGTGTTTTATGGGGTGATAATCAAAGTGCCACTTCGTTAGTTAATCTTCTTTTATACTTATATTTCCACCATACTTTTATACTTATATTTCCACCATACACACCCAATCGTTCATCTAATAACACAATTCCTAAAACCAGGGTTAACTTTAGGATACCACAAATAAGCATCCCACCCAAATCTCAAATCAGAACCTTCAAGGTCTAACAAAGTTTGGGTTTTTCAAAATTATCCAGTCTTTTAACCATACCAAACAACAGGCATCATAATATAATATGAGATCCAGCAAACCCTCATTTGGAGATCCAGACCTCCTCATTCTTTAGCATCCTGTAGGAGCTTATATTTAATTCTTGCTTTTTTTATTTTGCCAAATAAATTTGGATATATCTTTCTGTCACTGTTTAAAAGAAGAATCTTTAATCAATATCCATATAGTGTGGAAAAGAAATAACATTCTGGGCAGTACATTCATCTTAATTAATAGAATTCTTCTGATTAAATCTAGTTTTTCCATCTGTGTAAGTCCAACTTTATCTCCTTCCATATTTTAACATGATTATTTTTATATAATTTAGAATTTTCATTAGTGAGAGTCACCCCTAAATATTTTACCTTTTCACAACTTTAAGTTCCAATTTCCTCTTCTTTTCCACATTCATAGTCTTAGTATTGTCGTGTTTTATTTATTTATTTTTAAACCCATCATTTTCTCGAAATATTTTAATCATCCTCATAATATACTCAATATTCTCTTGTGTGTCTTGCAAAATCATAACTAAGTCATCAGCGAAAGCATGAACTTTATATTTATGTGCTTTAATTTGTAATCCTTTTACTCTGTTATTTTGTCTAACAGTTGCAGCACCAGGATAAATAATAAAGGGGATAAGGGACTCCCCTATCTTGTTCCTTTCTGGATTTCACATGGTTTTATCAAATATCCATCCACCATAATCTGTGCTTTCTGGTGTGTATACTGTAAATGGACTTCAATCCCTGTAGAAAGCCCAGTCCAAAATCCATCTTTTGACTACTTTAAACATAAAGTCTCAACTCAAATTATCAAAAGCTTTTCTTGCATCTAAGATTAGTGAAACTCTTTGTCACTACATTGTTGTAAATGTTCAATTATATCCAAGATTACTCTCACATTGTCTTTTAATTGTCTTCTGAGTAGAAAACCATACTGGTCTTCATGTATATAATCTCATAAAACTTTTTAAAGTTTTTCAACTAAAATGGATGTAAACAATTTATAATCATTATTAAGAAGAAAAATTGGTCTGTAATTCTTCATAGAATCCAGTCCCTCCTTAGGCATCAAAGACATGTAGGCACAGTTTCTTTGTAGAATAGAGTTCATTAAGTCTTTCATCAGAAGAAGTAATTGCTCTTCAAAAGTTTTATAGAATCCACTCAATAAACTATCAGGTCCTGGCGTTTAACCTATCTTAGCCCTATTAATTGCTTCTGTTATGTCAAAGGTCATTATTAGACTGTCTAAAATTGTAATTTTACCTTTTTCCAGATGGCTATTTAGATTTTTTTTATTCATTGTGCTCTAGAATATATAAAGACATTACCTTCATAAGTAAGATATCATCAATAATTTGATAAATAATGATAAATGTATATGGAGAAATGTTTTTAGCAATATAGAAGCCAAGATGGATCTTGAGACTTGATTTGATTCAAATTGGAAATTTGAGATTAAAAATCAACATGATTTGTTTTGGGGAAAATAGAATAAGCAGTTAACAGGGAAGCTCTGGTGGCTCAGCAGACTAATTAACATCCACTTACATCTGCTGCCTGCAATTACTGCAAGTTCAAATCTCACCAGGCTCAAGGTTGACTCAGCCTTCCGTCCTTTCTAAGGTAGGTAAAATGAGGACCCAGATTATGGGGGCAATAAGCTGATTTTGTATAAATATACAAAAGTATGAAGGCTATTGCTTAACGCATTGTAAGCCGCCCTGAGTCTCCGGAGAAGGGCGGCATATAAATCATTTTTTTTAAAAAAAAAAGCATCTACATTTCCTTACCTTCATATTTTGACAAATGGTATGAAAATAGCCAGTATGCCCTAGCCCTGCAGAATATGAGCTGGGTAGCTTCCGGAGTCTCTCTATGTTATTATTTCATAGTATTATATTATTATTAAATATTATTTCACATTCACCTAAATGATGAAAATTTAGACCAGTCTCTTTCATAGTCTGTGACAATGAAATTGTGTTGAAATAATATCAGAAAGAATCTGATTCCATCTTTCAAAAACCTTTTAAAAAGTCAACTCTTATTTTTTTAAAAATCAAAATGTCAACCTTCATCTTGCACTGGATTTTTGAGCTGGGAGACTTGATGACAAAGCTGATGGGCAACATTAGCCTTTTTGGAAGAATGACAGAGTAGATGGTATTTGTGACCAATTTTTAATACTCTCTGAAGAATAGTCTGACTGTAATTCAATATGATATAAATAATTTGCATTATGCAGCATTGGTCCATCAGCAAGCACATTATCTCAGAATATACTCATACACTGAAAAAGACATGCTCAGTACAAAGTAAGACAACAACAACAAAAGGCTACCACAATAAGTCTGAATGTCTTTCTCTCTACAAACAGTCTTCCCCACTGAGACCAAAACAATAGAGTACTCCACTCCTCCACATGGTCAGTAAGGCAAGCTTTGCAGAAGTCACCAGCTGATTATTCATGTCCATATCAGAAAGGTGATTGTGCTCCTTTGTCCATATTTAGAAGGAAAATTTTCAAGCAATGCTTGAAACCTTGCAAAGCTACTTTATCTCCAAGTGCTTTTGAATCTCTTGGGATATGAAAGAAACTGGTTCAGCTTGATGTCTCAATTTACTTGAAGATTCATTGCCAAAGTTTCAATTCCATTTCCTTCCAATCAAATCATCTAGTTGAATCATTGCACATCATTATGTGTATGTGTGTGTACATTGGTTTACCTGAGCTAAAAGAGTAAGTTTCTGTCTTCATCAAAAAACCTCTGATCAAAATCTATGATTTAACTCCTCTGTTAATGGATAAATCCAAATCGGGTTGGTTACCGATTTGAATTCAGAGGAATGGAGCATAGCAAATGTACTTGCAAAACAAGGGACATTCCCAGGGGTGGGCTTCAAAATTTTTAGCATGGGGTTCTCTGCTCGGTTGCTGGGTGAGCGTGGCCATGGTAGGTGTGGCCTAGTAGGCCTTCTGCACCATGGGGGGGGCGTTTTTGTCCTCCCCAGGCTCCGGAGGCTTTCCTCTAGCCTCCGGGAGGACAAAAATGGCCTCCCCAGGCTCTGGAGACCCTCTGGAGGCTGGAAACGGGCCTGTTTCCAGTCTTTGCAAACTTCCAGTAGGTCCGTTTTTCACCCTCCCTGAGCCTCCGCGTGTGTCCTGCACTTACCTACATCTAGAATGGGCCAGGTGGGGACTCCTGGGAGGGGCTAGTGGGGTGGGAGGGGCCAGCCAGGAGTGGGATTTGGTGGTTCTCCGAACTGCAAAGAATTTTAGCTAGAGCTAGAACCCCCAGCAGCCCACCCCTGGACAGTCCCAAAAAGTCATATCGTGACTTTTGGAGGACAGCATCTTCTTATCAGCTACAGTATAGTTCCTTGACATTTCTTGAAGTTTCTTACTGAAGTCTACACCAGAATGTATCCAGTGGTGGGATTCAGCCAGTTCGGACCACTTCGGGAGAACTGGTTGTTAACTTTCTGAGCAGTTTGGCAAACTGGTTGTTGGAAGAAATCATTAGGGCAGAGAACCAGTTGTTAAATTACTTGAATCCCACTACTGAATGTATCCTACAGGTTGTCTGTTAATTTAGAAGATTGCCCTACATATAAAAATTAGTAAGACATAATTGTAGTACCACTTGAAATCCATAGCTCAAATCCAGGAATTATGTTGATAGATATCATATTGAAATATGGTAATCCTGCTTCGGTAATACTGTGGATATCTTTAGAATTCTGGTCTAATCAGATGCCAGGCCCCTAAAGTAGAAGATAAGCAAAATCCCAATAAAAGAAGATGTCTCCTTGGAGCCCATGAATAGTTCTACAAAGTTAATAAGGATGCCATTGTTCAATAGCAAAGAGAAGGCCCAGTCTGTAACAGTGATAGCTGTGCTCATTTGCTATTGAGATACAATAGTAACAGAAAATCTCATTTTTATTTATGCTATAAATTATTGCAATGGACCTTTATGTAAAGGTCACACATGATACATGTTTCATCTGCTTTGACTTAATAAGAGCGCACATATCTTCAGAACCGGTCTGTTCATTCTTGCGGTTTATCTTTTAAGTAGAACATTCAGATTTTCACAACGAACTATACAATGCTATCTTAAAAGCTATTTGTGGTACCTTTTACTAAATGTTCTTAACTATATTTAGCAAAGAGTAAACTCCATTTATTTCTTTTAGAATTGCAAATAACCATGGGGAAGTTTTTTAATGTTCCATTTATTTGTTTAATACTCTTAAATTTTGATAAGATAATATGCATATTCAAAGCAACACTGATTAGCAACCCAGACTTTTAAAATGAATTAGTTCTGAGAATTTTCTAAAAGTAATATGTTTTGTTTTTATTTCTAAAAGCTAAACACTATAAAACAAAAGAACCATCCCAACAAATTCCAAAGTTTTAGTGACCTTGAACTAATTGTGTGCCATATTAAGGAGAATGAGTGATTACAAAATAGGTCTTCCGAAGTCATATTAATACCTAGGTAAATATTCCTGTAGAATAAATTAAGCTTTAGGATTCCCTAGACTGAGGCTGTTAAGAGGTTTAAATTGGTATTTTGAAACAAACACTGTTGGAAAACAGTGAATTAATTAGACAACTATAGGATTACACCCTGAACAACTCAATCATATAATGTGGGGTCTGTTGTGCTCTTTGAGCTTGGTTGTTTTCTTGCTGATGTTTGATTACCAAACTAGGTAACATTATCAGTGTTTGGTTGTTTTACTTACATTTTATATTCTAGTGCAGTGATGGCTAACTTTTTTGGCACCGAGTGCCGAAAGTGCGCATGCAGACACACATAAAGCAATGCGTGTGTGACCCCCCCACATGCCCTGCCCCCCGGGCATGCGACCCCCCACGTGTGCATCCCACCCACCCCACATGCATGCATGACCCCCTGTGCGTGCGCCTCACTCTCTGGGCATGCATGCGCATCTGCTGCATGTGCCCCGCCCCCGCATTCACAGCAGACACCCGAAAACAAGCGGACCGGTGAGAGTAGTAGTGGGTTGCTACCAGTTTGCCCCTGTTTGGACGAAGTGGTGGTGGTGGGAGGCTCTGCCCACCCGCCCAGACGTCATCAAAAATGCTCTGCACATGCGCAGAACCTTTGTGCGCACTGATAGTGAACCGGTAGTACCGGGAATTGAAACCCACTACTGAGCGAGAGGCGTGCACATATGTGCGGCGGAGCTGAGCTGGGATGATAGCTTGTGTGCCTGCAGAGAGGACTCTGCGTGCCACCTGTGGCACATGTGCCATAGGTTTGCGATCACAGTTCTAGTGGCTTACCCTGTCAAGGTTGGTGAGAGTTGTCTTGGTGGTGGTTTGTTGATTGGGCTGTTGTTTCCTATTAGCTTGTTTTGAGCTTCATTCATAGTGTATTGTTTGCCTTTTGATTGTTGGTCTAATATTAATCTTGGTGTAAATCTCTGCTCATATGGGTGTTGATTGCTGGTGAGCAGGTGTTCTGTTTCCTTTTTGATCATCTGTTTTAAATGGCGTGTAGATGTTTATGCCTGTGTACCTGTTGATGGCTAATTTGTCTGAGTGCCGGGCTTCCAAATCCCATATATTGGTTGCATTCTCTGAAGTACACCTCAGACATCAAGATATGATGGTGCACGGTTCATTTCTGGTGGAGCTATATTGATAGGCAACAATACAGAAATGTTGGTAGTCTTTGCTCCAAACTTCAAGCTTTAAAACTATCAAGGATTTTTTCAGGGAGCTAACATCTCATCTCTTATCTTTTCCAGTTACCTGTCTCTGGCAATATAGTGGACCTGTATGGGAATCAAGGTTTGCCTCCTCCAGGACTTAACATCAGCAATTCCTGTCCTGCTAACCTTCCTAATATAAAAAGGGAACTCACCGGTAAATATGAACTCTATTTTTACAACTATAATAAACAAGCCACCTAAGGAATAAATTCAATTTAACGCTAGAAATCTAAACATCCTGTTGTATTAAACACTTTCTACTATATTTATTGAAAGAAAGATGATCAGGGGCTGGGAGTGACATGGGGAGATAAACACAGGCAAAAATTTTCTGCAGAGACCAGCTTCACCACGATCAATTTAGAATTGCCAATTTCATTTGAATGCAATATAGAGCCAGACTATAAAGCCAGGATGCTAAAAATTGAATTAATAATTATTTGTTAAAATTAATTGCCTATAAAGTTTTCCATTTATAAAATTAATTGACTTTCCAATATAGACACAGACAGAGATTTCCCTGCCTTCTTCCATCAGAAACTCAAAGAAATGGGAATAAGGAAGACTAAGGAAAGGCAAGGGGCATCTGTCCTGGGAAGTAAGTGTAAAGAAAGGGGGAGAAATGTGGAGAAGGAAAGAGCAAACTAGATGGGGAAGGAAATTTAAAACAAAACAAAACAGAGAAGGGTTAAAATTCATCAGGCAAGCAGCCTTTCTCAAACAGGGCCTAATCTTCAGTCTTTAAATAGTTACTTTCCAGCTCCCCAAATGAATCTCCTGGATCTCTTTTGTTTTCGGCAGCTGTTTCTATTCTTATTTAAGACAAGATTCCCAGAATCCACAAATAATTCAGAACAATACGCTACTCAAGAACATCCAGTTCAGAAGGATTCTTAGGTCTCACATCTTTAAAGGAGCTGCAATTAATCTTGGAGTCTCCACTCTGACCAATAATATGCTTTGAGACCTTCCATAGAATATACCCTCTACCTGCCACCAACTAAGATTGAAGCCGGGATCTTTGCCAGATCCTTATAGACTCTTGCTGAGCTTCCTAAACAAGGCAGCAAACTCTTTGCCCTCTCAGAAGAGCAAGGGCAGTGTTTTCTGTTGATGCTGTCAACAGAACAGGTCCTCTCTTGCAAGCCTCCATAGTTCCTCTCTGCACTTGGCAGGGAAAAAAGCAGGCCAGCTGGGAGAGAAGGCAAGGGATATCAGGATGACCTGAGATTACCAGTGAGAATTGCAGTCTTGTGAAACACGCAATTGCTATTCCTATTTGAGCCTAAAAACTAAAAGAAGTAAAACTTCAGTGGCCAGGAAGGTTAATTTCTCTGTGATAGCTGAGGTACAAGGATTATGCGGTGTAGGCCGAAGTGAGCTTGGTAGACAAACAGCCTAATTTGGTATAAAACAGGGGTGTTAAACTGGATTTATTCGAGGGCCGGATCAGCATTGTAGTTCTCTATGCCGGGGAGGGTGGGGAGGAGGAAGAGACGGGACAGATACCTCTTGCAACACCCTCCAGCCAAAACGGGATGCAGGGGGCCGCATGAGGCCCCCCGCACGCCATGTTTGGCCTACATGGCCTCCTGCAACACCCTGCCAACCAAAAAAGCCCCGTTTTGGCTGCCAGAGGCACTGTGGGCCTGTCCTTCGCTATTTCCAGGCCAGCCCCGCCAGCCAGATTTAAACGCCCTGTGGGCAAGATCTGGCCCGCAGGCCTTGAGTTTAACACCCCTGGTGTAAAACAACTTTATATGGAACAGAACGAGTGATGGGCAAAATAGAAAGTGTAGAGCAACAAGGAAAATGAAGTTTTGCTTGATGACCGAGTGTCTTTTTCACTATTCATTTGCTTAAGGGTCATTTGTCGTATATACACTATGGTTGACGTAGGGTAGCCTGAAAATAATCGATGCTGTGTTCAAATGTGAAATGTCAAGTTCTCTGAGAAAGTTCCTTGTACCAGTCACGTTGTATGGTCCTACAACAGCATCCTTGAATCGATGGGCAAGTCATGAGTGCAGAAAATATTTTTGTTAACGTATAGTGTTTGCCTTTCTTTTCTTAAGGAAGGGACAAGAGGGGGGGGGGGGAAACACCCAGCAAGGATAAGGCATCGTTGTGTCTGATGCAGCTTCATTAAGGAAGATGCAGCATTTGTTCATTATTATGCCTTTATAATAAAGAGGTCTTTATTACCCATATTTGGAAATAATCTAGGAATAGCCAATACAGAAATTTCACTGCATGTTTGATCTTCATCCAATGGTTAATAAAACATATGTGTAGCTTTTTTTATTAGTAGTTAGGGGGTGGGGGAGTGTTAGCATTATTACAGTATGCCGCTTCCTTGGAGCAAACCTAATATTTTAATGGATAAAATCCAACGTTGCACAAAATGACTTTTATACTTGTGCAACAGGACTTGGCCGTCTCGTTCCCCAACCTTCTGGAGAAGATTTTGAGGGTGCAGGGTACACAGGGGTACACGAAAAAGGAGGAATCTCTTCCTTTCCTGTTCTACTGATGGAAAATATTCTGGCAGATGGAGGCTTAACTGAATGCAGCCCGTTATCCTCAGGTTAGCTGCTGCCTCAACTGAAAATGTTACTTTAATATGTTACTATGCATGAAGGATATATTAAAACATATAAAGAACGGTTGCAGGAATTGGGAATGGCTAGTCTAGAGAAAAGAAGGACTAGGGGTGACTTGGTAGCAATATTCCAGTATCTGAGGGGCTGCCACAAAGAAGATGGAGTCAACTTATTTTCCAAAGCACCTGAAACAATGGATGGAAACTAATCAAGGAGAGAAGCAACCTGGAATTAAGGAGAAACTTCCTTACAGTGACAACAGTTAACCAGTGGAACAGCTTGCCTTCAGAAGTTGTAGGTGCTTCATCACTGGAGGTCTTTAAGAAGAGACTGGACAGCTACCTGTCTGAAATTGTATAGGGTCTCCTGCTTGAGCAGGGAGTTGGACTAGAAGACCTCCAAGGTCCCTTCCAGTTCTATTTTGATTCATCATTTCTAACCTTTAAAGTGGCAGCATTACAGCTACACTAGATTCCAGTGATTAGTACACTTCAGCATGCCAGATCCATGTAAGAAAGGGGCCCCAATCAATTTACATGTTCTTTCTCGCTACTCTAAAGATACTAGCAATGGCAGCTCTGATTTTCTGTGACAATTTAACAAGCTCCACCTCTGTATTTATCTCTGCATCTCCACCTCTGTATTTAACTCTGCAAGCGTGGCTTCCTGAAATGGGAAAGATAACATTTGGAATCATCATAAAATAGGGGATTTCACAAATCACATTTATTGATGAAAACCAGTTACCAACAACATTATACTAGCATAAAGCACCAGTTGACCAAGTGTAGTTGCTGAACTAGCAGACCATTGGAGAGAAAAGCAGTCTTTGAAGTCTTTGCTACTTTTCTACAAGCTGTGATTTGTTTAGTTTATTTTTCACCGCATGGACCGAGGGTTTGAATCCTGCTTTTGCATTCAGAAATTCTATCCCTGAACGTTAAAATTGGTCCTTTAATGACAGCTAGCCATATGTAAAAAAGAACAAAGACAATATCATGCTGGACATTCATTATCTTCAGCTATAGGCTTTCAGTTTTAAACTTGAACCTATATCTCTAATAAGTCAGATTGAATATCCATGATATTAGATCATGGAAATATACCAGAAGGTTTTGCTATGGTGCAGTATAAGTGGTATATAGGTACGTCAGTCAGAGTATATATGAAGTAGAATGCAGCAGAGAAATATCAAAGTTTATTTTGCAAGTGTTGCCTTTTAATATTATACCAATTCTGACTACTTCATTAACAAGCATATCATGTGTATTTCCCGCAGAATCAGAGGCAAGAGCTTTGGCCAAAGAAAGACAAAAGAAAGACAATCACAATTTAAGTAAGTTGCTTATTTTGTGTTCTTTTCAACAGTCAATAAACAATAGACAAAAATCAGTAGCCCGCAGTCTTTGTGATTTTAAGAATTTACTTAACCCATTCTCATAATAATGGGAGGAAAATATAATTACTTAAATATTTCTAAATGTCCAATTGAGCTTCCTGTACATATAATTAGATATTTATTTGTTATTTTGTTACTTGGTTTTAAAAACATTAATTTGATACCTTGACACTGAGCCTATTTTATAAGGAATTTAATAATTTTCTTCAGCATTTGTTTAGCTTCTATAATATAAAAATACTGTATTCTTACAAAGTTACTGCATATTTTATTCCTTTACATTTCCAAATAATTTTTGGCTGGAAACAAAAAGCTTATTTGAAAACATCAAATAAGATAATAAAATCCCTGATTGTTTTTCATCCTTAATACAAATAGTAAATGACTTGAAGTCATTTTAATCTAGCATATTAATCCAATCATATCTTTACCATTCCACTGTACCAAAGCCTTCCTGTGCTCCCAAAATTAAGAATTGATTATGAATGATATAAATTAAAAGAGTTTATGTGTTAGCTGGGAGTAGAGCTTTGTTAAATCTATATAGCTAGATGCAAATAATAAATATATTCATTGTAAAGCCATCTGGATATTATACTTAATTTGAATTTTTAAGCAGACTTCTTTAATATTGTTGGCTTCTCCATGCTTAATATAACAGAAATCTAGCTATATAGATTTAAATTATTTTAAAAGGTCATATAATTTTTTAAAATTTCAAGCACTCTTGGTTTATTTATTCTCTAAAGGCATTTGCTGTATATTTATGCCAAAATCATTTCTGAGGTGACAATTTCTAAATGAAAAAAAAAATTAAAGCAAAATTAAAGTGGTTCTAATTTGATTTTTGGAGTCTGTGGATGTGGCTTAGAGATTTTAGTCTGCCCAATTTGTGCTGTGTTGATAAATCTATTGTAGAGTATTTTTCTTTAATTGAATTTAGGGATCAGGTAATAATAAAGGTGGTTTGTTATTTTTTCAAATGTTCTCTTCCATCACTGATTCCTGATTTTATACTGCTTTCTTAAAAGTTGAAAGAAGACGACGATTCAATATTAATGATCGCATAAAAGAACTTGGTACTCTGATACCAAAGTCAAATGACCCGTAAGTATATAATAAATCACTCCAAGAAAGTACATTGCTTTCAAGAAATGATTGGATAGTTGTTCTATTTAGCAGAAATACCTCATTTTAGACTGTACATGTAACAATGGAGGAGGAGGAGGAAGAGGAGGAGGGGGCAAGGCTGCTTCACTTCTGGGAAAAATATACCTTTGAAGCATTTCCATGAAGTATTCATTAGATCCTGCCTATATTAAAACTGCCTGTTTCTCATTATGATATTGTAAATATTCAATAATGTTCAACACAGTCCTCACAGTGTCCCTTAACTGTCTTTTTGGCAGAAAGCCAGATTGATCTTCATGAATAGGTACCCGTAAAACCTTCCTTAATCTTTCTGTCAAAACTGCAGCAAAAAGTTTGTAATCATTATTTAATAGTGAGATTGGTCTGTAGTTCTTTACCTCTGTAACATCTCAACTTCCTTTGGTCATAACATAATATTAGCTTCTTTCCAAGTTTGAGGTAACTTTCCCCCTCTGTAATATATCATTCAATATAGCTTCGAAGCATTTATAATATTGGCTTGTAAGGCTGTCCGATTAGACCAGGGGTGTCAAACTCAAGGTCCGTGGGCTGCATCTAGCCTGCGGCAGTGGTGGGTTCCTCCCGGTTCGGTCCGGTTCGGCCGAGCCAGTAGCGGTGACGATATGACGTCACCGAACCGGTTCTCCCCCCCTCCCCCCCACCCACATTATTCTTACCTTTTATTTGGTCCCACCCCCAATCTATTGCTGCCTCCTGAGTCCCAGCTGATGACTAGAGGGAAAAAAACTGTTTAAACTCTTGCCGCGGGGCTTCAAAGGCCGTCCTACAGCTGATCAGTGTTAAAAGCAAACAATGAGTCGGGTCGTAAGTGCGAGGACTTGGTCGTAAGTGCGAGGACCTTCCAGAAATGACTTACCAGCTAGCCACGCCCACCAAGTCACATGACATCTAAGCCACACCCATAAAATAAGCCACGCCCACAGAACCGGTAGTAAAAAAAATAGAACCTACCCCTGGCCTGCGGGGTGCTTAAATCTGGCCTGTGGGGCAGGCCTGGAAATCTCAAAGGACTGGCCCATGGTGCCTCTGCCAGCCAAAATGTTTTTGGCCAGGAGAGTGCTGCAGGAGGCCATGGAGGCCGAAAATGAGGCTGGGTGGGGGGGCGTTTTGACCGGCAGGGTGCTGCAGGAGGCCTCTGTCCCAACTTCCCCACTTGCCGGCCCACGGAGTAGAACTATAATTCTGATCCAGCCCTCAAAGAAATCCAGTTTGACACCCCAGGATTAGACCCTGCCTATAATTGGCAGAGCAGCTGCAGCATCATGACCAAGTGTGGCATCTATACCACAAGCACACCTCTCTGCTTCAAGGCACAGTGATGCATTCCATGTGTAACCAGAAGTGTGTCCTACCAATTATTAGTGAAAGAACAATTCCACTCCCTCCTGTACTAAATTTAATATTTATTTTGTTGTAACCATTTTTGTTTTCTGGCTTACTCAGTCACATTTTTGGAGAACGTAGTTTTTGCATAACAATTGTATGGGTTGTGTGCCTCCTTACCACCACAGTTCTTCCTTAAACTAAAAAAAGCCCTCAAGAGATATTTAATTGTTGACCAGCCATATGGTTTTCTTGGCACCAGTATGGGAATGGGTTGCCATTGCCCTCATTTGGGATGTGTTTGTGAGAAATGGTTCTCGGATGGTTAAGAAGCCATCTATCCATTACCAAAACGATCAACAGGTGTAATCTCCTTCCCTTTACATTGAAAAAAATGCAATAAAAAGAATAAGAGGCCTCCTGTCCTAATTTACCTAAATACAGTTCCTGCTTTCAAAGTAGATACTTGCTGGAATTATTGTGTTCTTCCTTGAACCTCTTGCTGAATAAATTTAACTCATCTGAACTGTGAGATTTGCTTGGGGTATGAGCCACTTCTAATCGATGCTGTTACCAGGAGCCTGGTAGCTTTTTGACCTCCCAGTCTAGCTGACCGAAAGGTGCTTCTTCAAAAGGCAACTGGACTTCGTTTTTTTCTTTGAAAACTTCTCACTTGTCAACAAAGATTTTTTTTTCCAGTTCTTCAGAAGCAAAAGGTTTTCAAGAAGAAAAAAAAAAACAACCAAGAAAATCCAGTTACCTTTTGGAAAAGCATCTTTGGGACAACCATGACCTGGAACGTTAAGAATCTCCATAGACAATCTAACTGACCCTGTTTTGCTTCTGAGGCCAGCCAAGGTTAGCTAGATGCTTCTACCTGCTGTGATTAGTGTTTCTTTATAGACATAATGATCTGGATTATTTTTACAGAGACATGCGTTGGAACAAGGGAACTATTTTAAAAGCCTCTGTGGACTACATCCGTAAATTGCAAAGAGAACAGCAAAGGACGAAAGAGCTGGAGAACAGACAAAAGAAACTGGAACACGCTAATAGACATCTTTTGCTCAGAATACAGGTTTGCTTTTAATTTGATGTATATTAATTTGATGTATATTACCCTTCTCTATCAAGGCCTCTTTTGAAGCGAGGACAGAATAAAAAAGGTTAAAAACCTACATGAAAATTAATGCTATAATTGCTAGCATTTAATATAATTAGGGTTTGTTTCCAGGATGGTTCTAGAATATTAATCAATTTGGAAGCAATGATCATAAGTACATGAAAGGTGTTTTTGGATAATTCTATTTGTAACTCTGCAAAAGTTCATAAACCTTTGTGCACACAGACATAGGTAGGGTTGAACATTCTGCCATCGCTTTTGTGTGCACATGCAGTAAATGAAACATAGGAGTTTTCATTTTATCACAGATTTCAATTTCACCTGATCCATAAAACTATAATTCCCAGGTGCACCTGTGCCTAAGCACATAAAACTAGTCTTCACCCTGCAAAATTCAAGGTGCTTAATTGATACTTGGCCATAGAACTAATGATGCATATGAAAGTAGAGCCATGCCAGAAGCATGGTTCCATTCCCTCATGGTTATAGATACAGGTTGTACTTGACTTATGACCAAAATGTCTGTTGCTTTGTATCTATGTATTTTTACTGTTTGGCTGTTCACCGCCCTGAGTCCTTCGGGAGTAGGGCAGTATATAAATCAAATAAAGTAAAGTAAGTAAAGTAAAGTAAGACAATTGTTAAGTGAGTCGCACCTGGTTTTAATTCTTTTGCCATGTTTGATAAGCAAATCGGTGCAGCTGTTAAATGAATCATGTAGTCATTAAGTGAATCTGGGATTCCCCATTTGACTTTGCTTGTTGGAAACTGGCTGGGAATGTCGCAAATGGAAATCATGTGATCCTGAGACATTGCTGCCTTCATAAGTATATGCCAGTCTCAATACTTTGATCAAATGAACTTGATGTGAGAATCGGTCATAAGCCACTTTTTTTGTATGGTATTGCAACTTTGTGCTTAAGGAATGGTTATAAGTTGACTACCTATATATTCTTTATGTTCTAGGCCATGGGTGTCAAACTCGATCACGTCATGTGACGTATCGCAACGTGACATGACATTATTTGCCTTTGCGGAGCCGGGGTGGGTGTAGCCTGCCTGTGATGCATCTGGCCTGCGGGCCGCCAGTTTCACACCCCTGTTCTAGGCTTATTAGTCATACTTGTGGCAACAGATACTTTAAATGTTACTTAATAAGGGACTTGAGGCAAAATCCTAGTATGCTTGGATGTTTTAGTGACCCTTTAACTACAAATTAGATGAGATGTTGCTTTTCAGTGCCCTAAAAGGAATAGAAATCCCACCTACCTTCCCCCTCAATCAAATTCTAAGGCTTGAATTTGATATAAAATTCTAGATTTTTATAAGAATGTTGTTGGAAAATGTGTCAGCAAAATAGTTTATTTCAAAATTACAAAACGGATGTAATTTATTTATTAGGGAAAAGGAAGAAAGCATTTTATAATAATAGAGGGTTATTTGCTTAACTATAATAACTAGGAATGAATTTGGTTATCAAGAACTTTTTTCTTTACCACACGAGGGCAAATCTATTTTTCTATTAACATTTTAGTTATTCCAGTTTAAGTGTTCCCCTTTCTCTTTTCTATCCATTCTTAGAAAATCTGAATAATCACACCTCTTTTTAACAACAAGCCATGATCATGGGAACAATTAGTTTAACAGGCTGATTTCATGTAACAATAAGGTATCTTTACTATTTGGCCTTTCCTTTTAGGCCACTGAAAACATATATCATGGGTTAGAGCAGGCATGTCCAACCCATGGCCCACATCTGCATGCAGTTCTGGACAGCTAATAAAGTGGTCCCACAAAATTGTAAACTTTTCACATTATTATGTGACTTTTAGCTATATTTATATACATTAACTGTATTGATAGATAGATAGATAGATAGATAGATAGATAGATAGATAGATAGATAGATAGATAGTTATGCTATATACTATATTATATATATGTGGCCCAAGACAATTCCTCTCCACTCCATGTGGCCCAGGCAAGCCCAAAGGTTGGACACCCATGCTTTAGAGTACCATGGACACTTTCCTTTATCTTAGGGGTCCCAAGCCTAGCCCATTGGGAACCGAGCTGTGCAAGCAGCAAGCAAGCACACAACGCTCCATTGGCGCATGTGCAGGATTAGGTTTCACAAACAAAACCATCTTCTTCCCCGCCCCCCACCACCCCCGCCACTGTTGCCGGTCCGTGAGCCGGAAAGGTTGGGGCTCATTGCTGTACCCCACTTGCTAGGAACAATATTAAGAGCAATTTTTTAATCACGCAGAAGCATTATAGAGAGCACAGTGAACATGCTGGCTCCATTTTGAGACTGAGCAAAGAGAGGAAATTGCATGGAAGATATACCGATCTTCTGCTTATTCTCAAACAGACACCAAAAGCTGCTTCCCTTCTTGCGTATATAGTATTTTCTTAATGTCAGCGCTATGATGGAAAAGCAATAATTATCTTCTTTTCTTCCCTGTGTGCTCTACTGTATTTTCCATTTTGACCACTGGCCTTTTCCCATAGCCTACATTTAGAAAGAAACCCATATTGGATGACCAATATAATTAGTTGTAAGAGGGTTTGGAATAGAAGGCTTCCCTGCTTTTAAGAAAAAAAAATAGTTGAATTCTAAAGTTGCCGCTCTTTTTAAACCTTCCCAATGCACTTCTTGTTTTTCATGCCTCTTCATAACAGGAGCTCGAGATGCAGGCTCGAGCTCACGGACTTTCCATCATGCCAACAACGGGCCTTTGCTCTCCAGAAATGGTAAACCGGCTGATCAAGCAAGAGCCCGTGCTTGACAACTGCAGCCAGGAAATCCTACAGCAGCACCATCCTGAGCTTTCTTCCACAACTACTCTTGACCTTACCGACGGCACCATCACTTTCAACGGTGGCCTGGCAAATGTGACGGAATCGGCCACAAGCACCTACACCATCCCTCCCAAAATGGGATCTAAACTGGAAGATATGTTGATGGATGATACTCTGTCTCCCGTTGGAGTAACTGATCCACTCCTATCGTCGGTCTCTCCTGGGGCTTCAAAAACAAGTAGCCGGCGGAGCAGTGTAAGCATGGAAGACACTGACTATGCTTGTTAGTGGATATCCATAGACAGGCCTCTCACAAACTTCTTCGTTTTTCCTGATCAGTAGATTAAAGTAACTTCCCCCCCCCCCCTAATATTTGAATATATAAGTCTACGGATAGCTCAGCGTATATGTGACTTTTTTAATGTTTGAAAAGACTTGTATATTGTTTTATAACTACAGTGCTTCCAAAGTATAGTACTGTACTGTGAACTAGGTTCATCAAGGAACTCCACATGATTTCATCTCTACTCAGAAGCAATAGACGTCTACAGATCAGCAAGATCCACTAAAGAGGAAACTTCAGTATAACTAAGTAAAGTGACTTGGAAGTGAAATGAAGAAGAATGTATAGAAACCAAAAAGAAAATTAGCTTTGTATAAACTATTTTTCTGTTGACTTAATAGTGCCTCCTTTTAAAAAAAAAAAAGCATACAGTATCTATTAATTCATATAATCTTTCCCATGGTGATAGATACTATACATGTATCAGCAGGTTACCTGTACAGAAACTAACTAATTTTAAGTACAGTTCAAGCTAGATTTAATGCAAAGGAGAGATATCTAAAGATTCAGTGATATTTAAGTTCATATTATTATTATCCATTCAAAATTATGTCTTTATCTTTTCGAAAAGCATTACTTTTAAATAATCATGAGGAAATTATTTTAAAAAAATACTGTGCAAGACTTCATATTGCAAACTTAGTATTTTTCTCTCAGTGGGGCATAAACAATTATTTCCTCTTTTTTTAAAGAAAAATATGTGGTACAAATATCTGATCTAAATGAAATTTTCAATTTTTTGATTCAACATTTCATTCTGAATACATTTTTTTTAGAAGAAAATGCCTCTCGCCATTACATCAAGTTTTTGACAATTAAATTCCACTGAAAGAAAGCCAGTTTAGTGTAGTAGTTAAAACACCAGACTAGAAACTGGGAGACCATGAGTTCTAATCCTGCCTTAGGCACAAAGCCTAAATGGTTGACCTTGGGCCAGTTACTCTCTCTCAGCCCTAGGAAACAGACAAGGGCAAATCACTTCCAAAATCTTGCCAAGAAAATTCCAGGCAGTTGTCAGGAATCAAAAACTGACTGGAAGGCACACACAAACCCCACTGAATGGATTGTTTTACATTTTTTTAATGCACATTTCAGTATAAGCTTTGATGCAGGTACCTGTCTTTTCACGAGTGGATTTGTTGCTATTTTGTATATTACAGTATTCTTTGAAAGGAATGTTTTGACACAGACAGTTTAAATAATAACGTAGATTTAATCTAGTTAACAAAACAGAGCTCAGTATAAAACAAAAACTCTGTGGTGGGGGAAATCCCAACATGCTCCTTTTTTTTTTCAGTGAGAGTAATATTGTTGAAAATAAGGTTGCTATGTTCTTTCATACCGTATTACACTTTTCAGCAATCGTGTTGGAAAAAAATTACTGTATCTTCAGGTGACTGTGTCTTGAGCCCAACAATGTTAGATTTAACCATGCAACAGTGTTGTTGTAAGAGCATGTTCTGTGCATTATCTACTCTGGTGTAGGCCTATGCAATAACAGTAGTGGCGCCTGTACCCTAACCCTAACCTTGCCTAATTATTTTATACAGAGGTTGTATAATCTAATCAGTTGAGCAAGAGATAAGTTTCCACCATAGCATGGAATCCTATCTCCTGGAGAATGAAGTGCCTTAAATTTAGCTGTAATCCTTATGAACTATGACTGAAGTGTGATGTAGGAAAAATTGAGGGGAGAAGGGAAGGAATCAAAGGGGGGTAGTTGTTGGGCTTAGGTCATGAAACAAAAGAGTTTCTGATCCTCCCACAGTCTGTGTTTCCTAAAGTTTTTTTACTCCCATGCTTTGCTTACATATTCAGGAAGTCTGGTCTACTGGTCAGAGATAAGCCTTCAGAATGCTAGTGAGAAAGGCTGATCAAGTCGTGGTAAAATAAGGCTCCACAATCATGAGCTGCCATGCACTTTTTGCTTTATGAAACCTTCTTGAAACCACTCAGGCCCAATTGTGCTGCTCTCTTAAGTCGAGTTGCACAGTGGAAGTGGGGCCTGGACCTGTTTTCAGCTTTGCCGATCTCATAGAGGCAGAGAAGATGACTTGAAGTAAAGACCTTTTCTTTTAACCTCAACGGGTTTTTTCCCCAGCTCATCAATGACTCAGTTTGCTCCAAGCTGACTACCTGAATGCTGATAATATTTAAGAATGTTTGTATCCATAAGATAGGCGTAGAAATTTGAATGCTTTTATTGCTAAGAAACTTTAATCAGCTCAGTATTTTTTGCAAGTTAAAATGTTTGCAAAACAATATAATCTGGAAACGAGTATTTCCCATGCACAGCAGAAACCTCAAGTTCAGTAGCCGATAAACAGACTGTTGTTGCCATAGATCTACTTTCTCCAAACTGATGCCCACCACAGATATTCCTGGACAATATTTGGAGGCAGTAGGTTGCATGAAACTGCCATGTACTATCTAACTGTAGTTAGCATTTTGTTGTGGACCGGACTCTTGATATTTTTGTTTTTATAATTATTTTTTTAAAGTATATCTGACTTTGGGAGAGAATGCTGTTCAAAGCCTAACCAAGCAGGCCATAGCTTGATCCTAAGCAATGCCAGTGGCTTGTATTATAAGGTATTTTTTCCTTTTTCTTTTTTTTTTAAGTGAATAAAGAGCTGGATCTGTGCATGTTTTGCAGGAGTCGGCTTTCTTGATACAACATTTTCTCTCCTTTTAACTTCAATGCAACAGAGTAGATTATGCATATTAAACATACATATTTGCTTCTTTTTGCACAACCCATTTCATTTAATGTAATTGTTGGAATGTCCATCATGCATATCCAGCGAAGGTCTAAGGCTGTTTTCAGTGCACACAAGAGTGGGGATTAAGGTGGGGGCCGGGATAAGAGGGATGGAGTTTGTAATCTACTCTCTGAATTCTGTGGGTTTTGTTTTTTTTTAATCAGGCATTACTGTTACGGGCTTTCAAATCTGCTTTTGCACACCTAAGGACTAGAAATGTCCTTATTTCTTCTGGAGGGAGAAAACCGAACCTAAGATTTTTAATAACAGAAATTCTGCTCTGGTGTCAAGTTCTGTGGCTGCAACGTAATATATGCATAGCCTCCATGGTGAAACAAGGCTGCTTTAAAAAAAAAAAAAAAAAACCCATTCATTCTGCTGGATTCTGTTTTGTAGTGTTTTGAATCAAGAAACACCCTTAGACCTAAATAAAATGTAACTGTGCCCTGTCATTGAATTTAGAGCATCTCACACCTTAGTGGAAATACAATCTTATCATTTTAGATCCCCTTAGTTGAAATTTTTGCATTCCACGATTCCTGCTGTATGTTGTTTAGAATACAGAGCTTTTTCTCATTTCACAGTCTGCAACACGACATATTTGCCTTTTTCTCACTAGCCATTCACTATTTTTCTATGGGTTTCCCCTTTAATGTGCCTACTTTGGAGTTTTCATATTGTCCACTTGTAGTTCATAAAAATCAAATCTTGGAGACTGGTGCGAAACTTTGCAATTGTAACATATGGCTCCAGAGGATTGGAGGGGGGGGGTTGTCCATCATCATCATCTAGAACCCAAGTCCACAATCTGATTAGGCTTTCAGTGTGTGTTGCATTTTTAAAAAAGAGATGTCAGGGCCATCAGATACATGGTAGAGCATTAAACTCTACTGAATCTCAAAGTACAAGGATTGCATGAACCCAGATGAGAAAAATAGAAGAGAATCCTGAAGTGGCTGTTTGGACATGGAGTTCAATTTCATTTTTGCCAAAATCACAAAGACTTCTTAGTGCCATGAGCAGCTTCCTTACTACTTTTAAACAGTTATAAAAAGCAATACTAACTCTTTTGCCTACAAAGCCTTTAGGAGAAAAGAAACAAACAAACAACAAAGCACAAAATAATGCACTTATCACATGGTTGGACACAAAATGCACTGGTGGAAAAAAAAATTGATGGTAGAAAAGGCCTTTGTATCTTGAAAAAAGTGATATGAATTACTGCCTCTAGTTCTGGATGTTTAGTACCATACTGTTAATCTTTTCATCTGCTGTTGGCCGCAGCAGTAAGTTGTGTATGATCCATCGCACTGTAAATTATGGGTCAAGTTAATGTAAGCCAATTAAATAATTTGAACTGTTCCTAATAGATGAATTAAAGTGGTTTTTTTTAATGTAATGATTTCATAATTCATGTAGAGTGCGTTTGAATGATGTTTTAAACCAAATAATGACTTTTGGTGTTAACTTGTGAATATGAATAACAAAGAATACTTTGGATTGTAGAACTTCGCTTCATATGAACCCTCCCTCCTTTCCTTCCTTCCTTCCTTCCTTCTAGTGGGCTCGACATGACAGTACAATGTATTGATTTTGCATAATTTGCAGATAGGGAGAATATCATTTTTTTCCAGCAGCATAGGTGCTGGAATAAACAATAAGCAATAAACTAATAAACTCTTTACAAATAACTTTAACATTAATGTTAAAAAGCAGGCTGCCTGTATAAATGGTGGCAATCAGTTGAAAGCAGACATGATATCAATCTCTACACTCTAATATTTTTTTAAAAAAAACTAATATCTTCCTGATTGAAGCCATATTCACTTTTTTTTTCTGCTTTGCATAATTCTTAGCCTTCAGAAATACTCATTGATTTAACAGGAACAGCTAAATAACTGGCAGAGCTGTTATACATCTTAAAATTCAGTTACCATTTAAACAAACCTAAACTCGGAATACCCAAGTGACTAATATCCCAAACTGCCTGATAATAAGCTGTACCAGAATCTTTAGTTGTTTCACTGGTCATTGGAAGTAAACATTCTTGGAGTAAGAACACTTCTTGAACCAAAATATTTCTTGTTGAAAGTGTTGTTTAAAGTCTATCACAAAGCTTGAAGCCAAAAGGAGCCTAAAATAAGAGAAGGGTGAGCAACAGATGAATTAAACAGATAATTAAAAGATAAAGGTTTCCCCTGTCCAGTTGTGTCTGACTCTAGGGGATGATGCTCATTTACATTTCTTAGCTAAGGGAGCCAGCATTATCCAAAGACCCTTTCCATGGTCATGTGATCAGCATGACTATATGCCTAGGCACATGGAACACTGTTACCTTCCCACCAAAGTGGTGACTATTTATTGACTTGCATTTGCATGCTTTCAAACTGCTAGGTGGGCGGGACCTGGAGCAAGTAACGGGAGCTCACCCTGTCACGCAGCGCTCGGGTCTTGAACATGGGCTGTCAGCTTTCCAGCTGACAATCTCAGCATCTTTCATCACTAAGCCATTGTGCCCTCTACTAAAATGAGGGAAGAGTGGGTAACAGCATTGGTCGCGGCATTGGTCGCGTTGGTAGATGATCTCTGGCGGGCTCGGGACAGGAGTTGCTCCTCTGTCCTGGTCCTGTTAGATCTCTCAGCAGCTTTTGATACCATCGACCATGGTATCATGCTGCACTGGTTGGAAGAGTTAGGGGTGGGAGGCACTGTGTTGCAGTGGTTCTCCTCCTTTCTCTCTGACCGGTCGCAGTCTGTGTTGACGGGGGCAGAGGTTGACCCCGAGGCCCCTCATATGCGGGGTGCCACAAGGGTCGGTCCTCTCGCCCCTCCTGTTCAACATTTATGTGAAGCCACTGGGCGAGATCATCCGTGGTTTTGGGGTGAAGTACCACCAGTACGCTGATGACACCCAGCTGTACATCTCCACCCCAGACCACCCCAACAATGCCCTTGAAGTGATGTCCCGGTGCCTGGAGGCCGTGCGGATCTGGATGGGGAGAAACAGGCTCAGGCTCAACCCATCCAAGACCGAGTGGCTGTGGTTTCCGACATCCCGATATAGTCAGTTGACGCCATCGCTGACTATTGGGGGCGAATCGCTGGCCCCCACGGAGAGGGCTTGCAACTTGGGCATCCTCCTGGATTCACGGCTGTCTTTAGAAGAGCACTTGACGGCCGTGACCGGGAAGATTTTTCATCAGATTCGCCTGATCCGCCAGTTGCGTCCCTTTCTGGATCAGGACTCATTACACACAGTCACTCATGTCCTCGTCACCTCCCGCCTGGACTATTGTAACGCTTTCTACATGGGGCTCCCCTTGAGGAGCACCCGGAGGCTCCAACTGGTGCAGAGTGCGGCCGCACAGGTGGTAATGGGAGCAACATGGCATTCCCATGTAACACCCCTCCTGCGCGAGCTGCACTGGCTCCCGGTGGTCTTCCGGGTGCGCTTCAAGGTTCTGGTTACCACCTTTAGAGCGCTCCATGGCTCAGGACCTGGGTACTTGCGGGACCGCCTACTACCACCAATAGCCTCCCACCGGCCGGTACGCTCCCACAGAGAGGGGCTCCTCCGGGTGCCGTCGGCCAAACAATGCCAACTGGCGGCCCCCAGGGGGAGAGCCTTCTCTGTGGGGGCACCTACTATCTGGAACGAGCTCCCCCCGGAGATACGGAGGATCCCGGATCTGCGCACCTTCCGCCGCGCCTTAAAGACCTTTTTATTTCACCAGGCGGGCCTGGCCTAATTTTCTCCCTCTTTTATTAAAGATTTTTAAATTTTTAATATTTTTTAGTATTTTATATATTCAAATTTTAAAATTGGTTTTAAATTGATTGGGGTTTTAATTTGTTTGGGCCAAAACTATTTAATTTGATTTTAATTCCACTTTTAAATTTTGTATGTATGTATTTTATTGTTTGGCTGTGCACCGCCCTGAGTCCTTCGGGAGTAGGGCGGTATAGAAATCAAATCAAATCAAATAAATAAATAAATAAATAAACAGTTAATGGAATATGGTTAAAGTTGGCAAAAGCAAGAAAATCAGTCTTGAAAGTATAAAGGATGTGGGTACATACTATTGAGAAAGAAGACACCTCAAAAGACTCACTTTGGAAAGGAGACTATTAGCAGAAGAAACTGGAAAAACGGGTATATGGGACGATTTCAGATATTCAGTCTGATCTAGACAGGGCTACAGCTAAATTACATAGAAGATCATTTCTATCTTTTACTGACTTTGAAAACAAAAGCATCTTAGAAGATGTGAGAGAACAACTAGAGGAAATAAATGGATTTCACTATTAAACAATCCAGCAATTTATAGTTTCTCGTTATCTTACGTAGGTCACAAGATCTATGAACAGTACATAGTTTTTTCTGATCATTCAAAGCCCATGGGACAACCATACCTTTAGAAAAATTCAGAATGGAAAGAAGGCAATGATGATAATGCTGGAAAATTGATCTGGGAGAGGTTATAAGAAAGATAAATCTGTATAGCTTGAACCTGCATTCTAGTTTTGTTATTTCTATTAAATGTTGCAGCTTTACATAATTTCTCTGACAAATGCAGAACTAATGTAACATCCATACTAGATTAGTTCCATATGATCAAGCCTAATTCAACATGGACCAAGGAAATTCATGTTGCTCTAATGTGTAACTCCAATTTGTAAGTTCTTTTGTCTGAAAGTAGCATGTAATTTGCATCACTGGCAGTCTCAGCTGAAGAGAGACAAGAATTGAACCATTTCACATTGAGCTGCCTAATCTATATTGTGAAATTGATGCTGATATTATTCATGGTTTTAAATATTTTTTGTTTTGACATTTTAATGAGAAGTATAGGAAAAGGATTTAGCCAAAAGATATGCTTATCTGAAAGGACAACTACACAATCACAGGCACATCAATAAGCCCACCCAGGAGTAGGATGAATGATAATATTGACAAATAAGTGTCTGTGTAATTTTTTAGTATTACTGAAAATATATTTATATTTTTTATTGTAACACTAACATTAAAATTTCAGCAGGAAATCTTCCAAGGAATAAAAGGCTAACCAAACAATATGTAAATATGTTTGAGAACATAGTCTGATCTAGCTGTAGAGCAGGTTTCCCCACTCTGGATGAATCCATTCATTTCTTCAAATTAAAATACCCCCAAATTATGTCCAGGTGACTTACAGAAGAAGAAATTGCACAGGTACAGTATATGTGGTACCTTGCTCAATAGTAGTAACTGTGAGAGGGATCTTGGAGTCCTAGTGGACAACCATTTAAATATGAGCCAGCAGTGTGCAGCAGCTGCCAAAAAAGCCAACACAGTTGTAGGCTGCATAAACAGAGGGATAGAATCAAGATCATGTGAAGTGTTAATACCACTTTATAATGCCTTGGTAAGGCCACACTTGGAATACTGCATCCAGTTTTGGTTGCCATGATGTAAAAAAGATGTGGAGACTCTAGAAAGAGTGCAGAGAAGAGCAACAAAGATGATTAGGGAACTGGAGGCTAAAACATATCAAGAACGGTTGCAGGAACTGGATATGTCTAGTTTGATGAAGAGAAGGACTAGGGGAGACATGATAGCAGTGTTCCAGTATCTCAGGGGTTGCCACAAAGAAGAGGGAGTCAAACTATTCTCCAAAGCACCTGAGGGTAGAACAAGAAGCAATGGGTGGAAACTAATCAAGGAGAGAAGCAATTTAGAACTAAGGAGAAATTTCCTGACATTTAGAACAATTAGCAAGTGGAACAACTTGCCTCAGAAGTTGTGAATGCTTCAACACTGGGAATTTTTAAGAAGATGTTGGATAACCATTTGTCTGAAATGGTGTAGGGTTTCCTGCCTGGGCAGGGGGTTGAACTAGAAGACCTCCAAGGTCCCTTCCAACTCTGTTATTCTATTCTATTCTAAAAGGCAGACTAAAAATGGCTCTGCAAAAGGTGGAGCTGACAACCGCAGCAAAGAATGAAGACTCAGTAAGTAAACCTCTCTGGACAAGGAGAGAATGAGAGATCACCCACATGTGCATTGAAATATTGCTCCTCGCAAGGAGACCACAAGATAGCAGTGACCGGTGGTTTTTGAGCACTGTGAGATACAGGAATAACATTGTGCTCACAACCACAGTTAGTGCCTTTTAAACGACACTGCTTTCACAAATGTCTTTTCTAATTTGGGAATTGTTTGTTAATTATTTTTAAGCTATCAGAGACCTTCAGATAGATGACTCTGAAAATGCCAAGTGAGTTTTCCTTCAATCTTTAATGAAAGAAAATTTTAAGTAATAATTGACCCAAAGCATGTAGATAGTGATTCCTTGCCTCTAGTTTTCATATTGAAATTGTTGGTGTGTGATCTGAGGGTGGAGATCATTTCAATCTGTC